AAAAAAAAAAAAAAAAAAGTAGAGTAATAGCTCCAAAACTTCTCTTGGGTTTCCTATCTCAACTTATTTCAGATCATCCACCCAAGGACCTAAGCCAAATCCCTGGGAAGCATCTTAATGCATCCTTCTCACTCACTTTTCAGTTTTAATGATCAGTCCCCAAGCCATGTGGATTTCAACTCTCAGCGGTTCTCAAATCCATCTGCTCTCCATCTCACTGACATTTAATGCAGGCACCATCCCTGTTGCCCAAGTTACTGCAGTATGCCCCTGACGGATCTCCTCTCTCTAGTCTTGCCCTCTTCCTTCCTGTCATGCCCCTGCTTAAAATTGCTCAGTGGTTCTCTGTTGTTTCTCAAGTCAGGTGCAACCCCCTTAGCATCCAAGTCTTTCATTACCTGGATCCTGCTGAACTTTCATCCTTGCTTCCCTATACTTGCCTGCCCCATACCTGCTGGTCTGCATGTCCAAGGGTATGCACCCTCGTACTTTGACGTGTTGTGACCCCTGCACATTCTTCTCGAATTTCTTTGTTCAAAACTCAGATCAAGTGTCACCTCATTTAGGAAGAGCCATGGAGTTCTCCTGAGGGTCACCCTCAGAAGGTATGTGAAACTCTTAGCACAACGATGGTATTCAATTTTGTCTAATTTCTCTAATGAAGTGTCCCACATACATCATTAGCCTGTAAATAAAGTTTTCCCATTTGCAATAAAACATCTCCAAATACAGGCTCAGGGGAAATTGTCTCCCTCATTATTTTAATAAAATGGACTCACACACAAGACATTTTCCTTTCCTTCTCTTTTATGTTTTTGTTGCTTGTTACTTGTTATTTTAATTTGAGCTCCTAAACATTATTCTTAATGGCCTGGAAGTGATTCTGATGGGTCACAAGATAGGAGACAAATCCCCTAGATATTATTGCCATCCCCACAGCACACACAATAATTTACTGCAGACCCGGACCCTGAGGGTTTGCCTGGCACCTCTGCAGCCCCTCCTTACTCACAGGGCCCTGGGAGAATATACCAACCTATCACTCTCCCTGGAAGAATCTGGAACCACATGCCTCTGATAACCAAGGCCTATCAGGAGATGCCCTTCCTGGGCTGACCTCTGACACTGTACCCCTGGCCTTCTATGGGGCCATTAGGAATGTTATGTGAAAGGAAAAGCTGCTTTCTGAGAAGGATTTTCCTCTGGACACCTGTTCCCTGCAAGGTTGCTCCCGCACTGGCACAGAAGAGAGCACACCCAGCTTTCACTCTCACTGTCAGCACTGCCTGCACTTCCTGCACCTCTTGTGCCTCTCAGTGACAGTCCCTAGAAGGGTATAAAAGACAGAGCTCCCTTACTTGCATTCAGCAGAGTCCGAATCTTTTTCTCTTCTTCAGCTTCTTGGACGAGCTTTTCTGCCAGCATCTTCTCTTCCGATTCCACGCACAGGTCAGCTTCTCGCAGGTACTCCAGGTAGTCAATCTCCCGCTGGGCGCGCTCCACCCTCAGGGCCAGGTTGTCCACCGCGCTCTTATACTCACTCGTGTAGGTCTGACACTGTCCCAGCATAACGGATACATTTTTCGAGAACTCGCGGAACTCTTGAATGTATGTCCTCGTTGCTTGGGTACATTTTTCCAGTCTTTGCTTCAGTCAGAAAATAAATTCCCAAATTACTGCTAGTTATTGAAGTTACCCAAGTAATATATAAATGGCTATCAGTCATTAAAAAAGATTTTAAAAATACAAATAATCAAAGATGGGGAAATAAAAATCACCATTCATTTCTTAATCCAAAGTACTAGTGATACTTTAATGTATCAGTTAAGTTTTTCCATGAATTTAGTCATAGATTATAAATATATATTTTATTTTTTAATTTTATAAAAATATGTTTTTATTGATTTTAGAAAGAGAGGAAGGGAGAGGGAGAGAGAGAGAGAGAAACATCAATCTGCTGCCTCCTGCACGTCGAACCCATAACCCGGACAGGTGCCCCGGCTGGGAATTGAACCAGCCACTTCTTGGTGCACAGGACGACACTCAACCAACTGAGCCACAATGGCCAGGCGTAAATATATATTTTTAAAGTGTTGGGCAAGTTGGTGCTACATGTCATGGTTGAGAGTAATTCTGGCACTTTAAGGAGGTGAGACCGGAGGAGGGGTCCGAGGAGAGAGTGAGTAAAGCTGCAGCGAGGCACTGGCCTGGGAACATTTCATACACCACCTCCAGGCCTCAGTCCGTCGGCCGGACAGCATTAAGAAATGTTTTGGGCCTGCTCTGTGGAATTATTTTACCCTGACTGTAACTAGATGACTAAGTAATTTGAACTTGGAAGAATTTTCAGGAAAATATTGAAAGTAAATATTGAAGATAAGAGTGTCTTTGAAAGAAGACAACTTTCAAAATTTAACTTGTACAAAAGCAAGGCAGTTAAGTATGAAATAGTCAATGTCAACAGCAGGTTATGTCAAAGGCGGATGGGGCAGAGGGTTACATTTGTCCCTGGGAGCCTGTTCATGCTGCAAAAGTGTTGCATTTTGCAAAGTTTAATGAAGTGGTAGCTGCAGCACATGGAGAAGAGGGCCCAAACGCTCTCTCTCTACTTAGCATGGTTGAAATCTGCTCATTTCTAAATCCAAGTCCAGCTTTGCAAAAGAAGCTCTGACAGCTTGTTGGCACAACAATATCATGACATTCTACAGTGACCTAATGGTTTATTCTACAAAGGCAAAAAGAAAAGCTAAAATTAGCTATCATCTTGATATAGTAAAAATGAAGAAAGCCACCCCAAATTTTAATTTTCTTATTTTAAAAGTTGAACTATTGAATAATAACATTTTGAACATATACGGGTATGCCTGGAAATGAGGAAATGTCCTAACTATGGAATAATTTATTAAATCTTCAAAATAGCTTTNTGGGTATGCCAGGAAATGTCCTAACTATGGAATAATTTATTAAATCTTCAAAATAGCTTTAAGAGGTAAATTCTATTATCATCCCCATTTTACAGATGAGAAAAACTATGCAGAGGGAGTGGTGCAGTCTGGACTCTGGTGCTCTAAATTATTAAAAATGTCAAGTGTAACTTTAGCAATGTATTTATCATTTACTGTCTGAGAAAATGTATCCAAGTAGATAGGGAGGCATGGGTAAGAGAAGGTGACTTCCGGGAGGCATGGTCCCTCATCAGGCATACAGATGCCACCTACCTCCAAGACTTGAAAGCGCTGGTAGATGTAGTGCACCATGCCTGGGTCCTGAGCGCACTGTGGCGGAGGCCGAAATGCTGAGAGGAACAGAACCAGGAAAGCAGAAGCTCCCCGAAGGGCCAGCATCGTCCTGTAAAGCACCCAGGGGTGGCCTCTCCGATGCTGGGCCTCTCGAAAAAGGCTCGAAGGTTCAGGTGGTGATCTCCTGGTTTCTAGACGCTGCTGTGAAAATCCTCTAAAAACAGCCGGAAAGTAAAGTTCGCTTGTTATTCCACCAGATGTGTGACCTCACTCTGCAAGCTGGTGATCAAGTCCAGCTGTTGCAAGCCAGTCCCTGGAGGCCTTTCGGGTTGGCTTGGGGTAGAGAGCTTCCTGGGTCCAGCATCTGTTGGCATCACCCTTGACACACACGGACCCTCCCCAGGCTAGTGGCTGCACCCTGCTTCTAGGCTTGGGTGAATGTGCAATGGGGTGGGTGCAGGAAGGGCTTCTCCCCTCTCCCCAACTCTTTTACTTGTGCTTCCCTCCCCCCAGTGGACCCTGCAGTCCAATCACAGCCCCGACCTAACACACACCACCCCCAACTTCTCAGAGTTGGAATCTCAGCTTCATTTCTGGCACAAATTCCCAAGATCCATTTCCCAGAAGTCCTGTTGGGAGACCCCACCCCTCCTCCAGACTCTCTGCATTCCTGCAGCTCTTAAAGGCACAGCAAAGGGGG